CTAGTCCAGCTGCCTGCCCAATTCAGGGCTGACCAAGTTCAAACCTGTTGTTCAGGGCACTGTCCAAACGCCTCTTAACCCCTGGCAGGCTCGGGGCATCGACCACCTCTCCTGGAGGCCTGTTGCAGTGTTTGACCACCCTCTGGGTAAAGAAATGTTTCTCATGTCCTGCCTGACCCTCCCTTGGCGCAGCTTTGAACCGTTCCCACATGTCCTGGATCTTAGGGAGAAGAGATCAGCATCTCCCTCGGGAAGCTGCAGAGCAATGCAGAGCCCCTCAGCCTCCTTCTCTCCAAACTAGACAAGCCCAGAGTCCTTAGCCACTCCCCATAGGACATTCCTTCCAGCCCTTCCACCAGCTTTGTTGCCCTCCTCTGGATGCATTCAAGTACCTTCACATCCTTCTTACATTGTGGGGCCCAGAACTACAAAGCTTGTCCAGTCCCAAAATCTATCGCCCATCTGTTTGCCATCTTAATTACTGCATGTGAGCTTGAAACTATGCTGAAGGAAGAGGAGGCATTTTCCAGGAAAAAGAAATACTCTGGCTTTGGGAAAAGAGTGGCTGGGGAGAAGAAACTCACTCTTTCTCTCTTTCTCCCCAGGCAGAGGTTTACGCTCCTGACGTTGACCAGATGCATGTGGTGGACCACGTGAAAGGACAGCCAACTCAGGAGAAGCGCAACGTGCTAGTTGAAAGTGCCAGGATAGCCAGAGGCAACATCAAGGATCTAGCTAAGCTGGATGTCAAGGGGCTGGATGCCCTAATCATACCAGGTAGGACAGCACACAGGGTCTGCATGCCCAAAGTCTTGGGAACAGCTTAGATATGCCATAAACCTTGAATGACATGGGGGTCATGGGCTGGAGGGGAACTGGGCAGAGCCACTGGGGAAGAAGACAGGCTGGAAGCAGGGGCTGGAAGGGCAGACATCTCCATCTGCGCTGGCACTGGCATGCTAGCTTGGAGTCAGAAGAGAACATGGCAATGCAGAAGCTTATCCCAAGGTAGGCTGAGAGAGTTGGGGTTGTTCAGCCTGGAGAAGAGAAGGCTCCAGGGAGACCTTAGAGCAGCCTTCCAGTCCCTGCAGGGGCTCCAGGAAAGCTGGAGAGGGACTGGTGACAAGGGCAGGGAGTGACAGGCCAAGGGGAATGGCCTGAAGCTGCAGGAGGGGAAATGGAGATGGGATGAGATGCAGAAATCCTTCCCTGTGAGGGTGCTGAGGCACTGGCACAGGGTGCCCAGAGAAGCTGTGGCTGGACCTGGCTCCCCGGGCGTGTTCAAGGCCAGGTTGGATGGGGCTTTGGGCAACCTGGGCTAGTGGAGGGTGTCCCTGCCCAGGGCCGGGGGTTGGAACTGGATGGGCTGTGAGGTCCCTTCCCACCCAAACCAGTCTATGAGAGGGCAGATAACTGCCAGTTGAATTATCCTCTGTACCACCTACTGAGCTTTTTATTACTGGATGTAAAACTATCCCCTCCCTCACCAAGACGCCTACCTCCTTATCAGGAGAAGGGGAGGCTGGGACAGAGAGGGGGTGACTCAAAAGCAGAAAGCTTGGTCAGTCTGGCAATTCATCTTTAGTGAAAGTATGGCCACGTGATGGATTAGGGTTAAGAGACAAGGGAAAACTTGTCAGCATGTTCCCCCGTAATTCAGAAGAGAGCTCACGGGGGAAACACAGCACCCAGCAGAGCATTGATACCTCTCTGCTTCAGTTCCGTGTGGAAGCAAGAAAGGGGCTTTGATGTCTCATCTCCTGGCAGTCAGCTCACACAGGTTCCGCTTCTCTGTGTATAATTCTTTTATCAACATCGGGCAAATGCTGCCATCCACCAAATCCATTTCAGCATTCTACTAAGTAATACCTGAAAAAATCCTGCCCTGGAGTACTAATCTTCTGGTCTAATCCATTTCTCTTTTCTCAGGTGGCTTTGGAGTGGCTAAAAACCTGAGTACTTGGGCCACCCAAGGCAAGAACTGCATCATCTCCAAAGAGGTGGAGGACGTCTTGAAGGCATTCCACGCTGCCAACAAGCCCATTGGCCTCTGCTGCATCTCACCGGTGCTGGCAGCCAAAATCTTCCCCGGATGCGAGCTGACCGTGGGTCACGACACAGAGTGTGAGAAGTAAGTAACCGTGGAGCGCTGATGTGAAATCTCACCACGAGGAGCGCAGAATCAGCAACGCCGCCCTGACGTACGGGCACCTTGTCTCAACTGTCCCCTCGGATTTCTGGAGTATCGCGATGAGCTGAATGTTATTTCTGAGAATGTCATGCATTTGTTAAATTAACCTTGGCTGATAAGTTAAATAATCGGAGGTTTTGATGTACCTGTTGTTACTTACAGATTCCTCTGCCTGTGTCTCGTGTTAAAATTAGAAATCCAATTTTACTTTTTACAGTTTTCTGTAATGGAGGTATTTAACCATACGGGGGCACAGGAGACCGCAAGAATCGCAAAGAAATAAATTAGATTTTGAGTCAGGACGACGTTCAGATTCCTGGAAAGGAGAAATCTGTCCTTCCCTTGCCTGAGAGCAGCGAGGGAGGGGACCAGAGGGATTAGGGGAACAAAGAGAAGCAGCAGAAGGGCCGGGAGCTCGTTTCCCTCCAACGAGGCGACAGCCATCCTTCAGTTACGCTCCTACCTCGGACGGACGCCGCGTCGCAGACAGACTCTGCTGTAGCTGCTGCCTCTGGAGCAAAGCAGTTGGTGACCAGGAACCATTTGAGGACTGAACGGTTGAAACTCTTTGAGTTCCTGGAAGAATTCTTCCATTACTTGTCAGCAGATCAGAGCGCATGCTGGACCAGAAGATTTGGTTACATTTTTGTATATTTCTTTCCACAAGTCTCATAGCTTAAAAATAGGACACTTTTTATTTTAAATGCTATATCTGCCCCCCCTCACTGTACGTAGCACCCTGGCTCACGCTCCTCTTGGTCCCAGGGTAGGAAAGACACCAGAGCTTTGGCTTTACTTCAGATTTTTAACTCGCCGTAATCTGGAGGTTTTCCTGGTTCTACAGTCCTGGAAAAACTCCTCCAACAGGAAAAGATTTGTATCGTGTTGAGCAGGCTTTCTGTAGGGACCATCCATCTCTCTAATCAACAGATTTCTCACTCTAGGTCTTCATCAAATCGCTCTGCGTAACGACGGCTTCCCCACACAGGGTTTATTCTCTTTTCTCCTTGCAGATGGCCTTATGCAAAGACTGCCGAGACCATGAAGGAGCTTGGTTGCAAGCACGTGAACAAACACGTCACTGAAGTTCACGTGGATGTGAAGAACAAGCTGGTGACCACCAGCGCCTTCATGTGCAATGCCCCCATTCATGAGATCTACGATGGCATCGGGAAAATGGTCCAAGAAGTGGTCAGACTCGCCTGAGTGCCACAAAGCCACAGAATCCATCTCCTCTGGACGCAGGCACCGAGCCTTGGGTAACATTCTTCCCCTTTTACACCCAAATACCAACAGGAAAACTGCTCCTCAGACGGAGTTCTCCCACCCCACCGGTACATCAAAGCTCCCCATGCACCTCCACCTCCCAGAACAGAGGAGCTAGCGGCAAAGGGAAGGAACACGTTTCTGCTGCCGAATAAAACCTAACGCTTTTTACATGGGCCGAATTCTGCTTTTTTTTTTTTTTTTCCTTTTGCTCTGGATTAGGAGATGCTCTCAGTGCTACTGGTTGGGGAAAACGATACGGGAAGAAGTCACCAGCAACGAGCCCTGCTTGCTTTGCTGGGGTCTGTCAGAACCCAGACTTGGGCATGAGCACCACATGGGTGAAGTCAAAATAAACCGATGTCAGCATCCAGGGCTGAGGGGAAGAGGTTAAACTCTTCCCTTGCATTAACAGAAGACCTGCTGTAACAGCAGAGAGTATTTTGGAAGCAGCCTTCCATACCGCTCCGAGGCAGGAGGAGTCCAGGGTGAGGTCTGGACATCCCAGAGCAAGTGGTACAACTTCCAGTCCCTTCCAGTCTCTGGGAAAATTCCTAGAAACACCAATTCTGCAACAGGGACAGAGGAGATACCCGTCTGGCTGAAACCTGGAGGGCAAGCCCTGACCTGGCAAGCAGAAGGCACTAAAAATAACACGGTATCAGGCACAGCTGTTTGGTAACAGGCATGGAGTTTTTAGTTACAGAGCTAACTTCCAGCCCCTGGATGCTGGCAGGTTTGTCTCTGTTAGGTTCAGGAGCTTTTTAGATGGTCGCTGCTAAGTTCTTCTTACCTAAGTAAGTACCGTATAATCACTACAGACTGAGCCGTTTCTCTCAGCCCAAGACATGTTTTCTAAGTCAGCAACTATTTTCTGAGGCTCTTCTGAGCTCTCTTCAGGCTTTTTACATCCTTTTCAAAACACCAACGTATTTTTGCACTCTCACCAACACGGCAAGATCCTTCGTGACTACATTGGTGGCCAGAGTGGGAAGAAGTTTACCCAGGTGCCGCAGCAAAGAGAGGTTCAAGCAGATCTGGCAGCCCGAGTAGCATAACACAGCAATGCTACTCGGTTTCTGATGAAAATGTGGCTTATTGTCCCCAAGCCCTTGAACAAAATGGGCAAAATGCAGGAGTTAGGCAAGGTACAAAAGTTTCTGCCATAAGCACTAACTGTTGAGAGTTCTACAGGATTTTCTGAGATTAAGAGTGTTTTGAGATGTCAGATAGGCAGAAAAGCTACAGGATGTAAATACGATAGGGAGAATTCCAGGGACTGGCTGAAGAATTCGAATTAATCTCTAACTTTAGACCCAACCCACACAGACCCAAAGCTAGTAACAACAGTTTGCTGGGGCGCGGAAAACTGCTTCCACTCATGAAGCAGGAAAATCAACCCCAAAGATGAAACATTAACAATATTTTGGTGTGTTTTGACCCCCAAGAAAGGCAACAAACAAGAAATAAGGAAGCTGGAGGAAAGTGACATTGTAACTAGTTGTTTATATGGGAATGGGAGAATAAAAAGGAAATCTTGTAGTTACGGGTCGGTGAGCGTCAGCATCCGTAGGAACTCCTGTTTGTCCACTTCTCCATCTCCATTCACATCTGCTTCATCGATCATCTCCTGTGGGATAGCAAAGATTTGGAGACCAGGTTAGGTGGGATCCGAGAGGGTGGACGCTCAGAAAGTGCAAACACCAACGAAGGTCTCAGGCAAGCCCCAAGCGAGACAGAGATCCTGCCCGTTGCAAAGTAACCCCGCACAATCCCCGATCTGTCTTCCTGCAGCAAGACACTCCCCTCCCTCCCTGAGCAGGGACAAGAGGAATGTGTTTGTGATTCACAAACCTGCAGCTCCTCATCCGTGATGTCTTCTCCAACCTCACTAGCCACCACCTTGAGATTCTCAAAGGAGATCTTGCCAGTGCCATCACAATCAAACACCTTGAAGGCTTGCAGGATCTCCTTTTCCACACAGGGCTCTGCCTTGGCAAGGAAATGAAAAATGCTGTCATGTAAACGTGACATCGTACCACCCCACAATCCCTAGTCAGGCACTTTAGCCAGCAAACATTTGCAATCAAATCCAAGACATCATTTTGGGGAAAACATGGCCATAGAAGAGGGTTACCTACTGCTGCTATTTCACCTTCACCCTCTGCCCATATATAACGGTGTATTACAGGAAAAGCTCCAAGAGAAGTTGTCTGAGCAGCACGGGGACTTGGCCTGGAATATCCCGGCCAAGCTTTGCTGGAGAGAGGACCAGCACTACCACTGGAGAGTACTCTGAGATGTCTGCACGCAGCCAGGCTCTAGGGGATAGAGGGGTTTGAGCCACGGGAGTCTCAGACGGGCGCTGGGATGGGAAAGAGATTTCTGCTGAGTTGCAGCTGTCTTTATCTGAACTAGCCATCCATAGTTCAGGGAAAGCGGCAAGCGGGGTAAGGAAAGAGGCAAGAGGGGTAAGGACAATTCATCTGAAGGCAGACCTCTAAAATAGCTCAGAGGAAACCCCTGAACCACTCCTGTTTCTCTGCTGCAGAGACCAGACCAACCCAATCTACTGAGGCTACCTGCATCGTAAAGTCAAGCCAGGGGAATTTCACTCTTTGTGACCAGATGGGTTCACATACCATTTTCTGAGTCATCACCTGCAGAAACGACTTAAAGCTTAGCTTCCCTGACCCTTCTTTACCGAATTGAGAGACAATTCTCTTCATCTCCTCTTTCCCCAATTCACAGCCCAGAGCCCTTACGGTTATCTGCCAAAACAGAAAAAGAGACCAATGTCTTGGTGTACAAATCAAACAAAGAGGGAAAGATGTTTGAAACAAGCAGGTACATGAAAGTGGTGGAAAAAAACTTTTCATCAACAGCTATTCATCCACCATTTTGTCTCTAGAGAACAGGGTTCTGTAGCTGTCTAACATCAGTAGTATGAGGCTGTGAAAAACTAGCAGCGAAGAGCAGTCAGCAAGGGCCAAGAAGGCAGGCTTCACTCCCTCCTAAGGGTAGCTGGCACAAACCTGACGGCTGCATGCTGTATCCACCCCACTGCAGGCAGGGCAGTACAACCCCAATACTGCGGTGATACCATTTTCCATGTGGGAAAGGGGTTATGAAGGATATGCTGCGCATCCGTGCCTTCTTTCAGGCCTGCCTTAACCAAGTCCCTGCAGCACAGGTTAACGTTATCTTGGTGCACAGGTGAAAACATGACAGAGGAGATTCGCAACCAGGGTGGGGAAGTAGAAAGCCTCTGGACGAGAGCGGTGGAACAACTTTTTTAGGCGAAAAGCTGGGACCAGAGGTTCCCAGGGTTTCTTCTCCAGCAATGCCGCTGTGCGGGGCTTCGTGGGGGAAAGGAGGACAAGCGAGGAGTCTCTACACCTCCCAGATTTGTTTTCACCAGCGCTCAGGCTGCACTTCCACAGCTCCTTGCCTTCAGGGCCCGGACATCCACGACGCCGCAGCCATCAGGATGGAACAGCTCAAAGGCTTCTCGCAGTTCCCGCCTCTGCTCTTCGCTGACCGGGAAGGCGAGGGCTGGTTCCTCCGTCGGGGAGCTGCCCCCGGCGGCG